AGAGAGAGAGAGAGAGAGAGAGAGAGAGAGAGAGAGAAAGAGAATATGAGACAGGATAGGCTTGGCTGTCACTACAGAGTGTAACTCAGGGGCTCCAAGGGAGTGGGCTATGAAGTGTCTTCAGCTCAGAAGGGTCAGTGGAAATTTCCTAGGCAGGGCAGTGGTGGGGAGGGACTGACAGCCAGTAGGGAGTACTGGTGGTGGTGGAGCTGCTGATAGGGAGTGGTGAGGGCAAAGGTGTGGGTTTACATACCACTCCACACTGCTGCTGCAGAGTCTGGTGATAGGAAGGTCAGGAGGCTGGGTAGGAGGTAAGACTAGGCCAGGTGGAGCCTTGGGTGCTGGGCTGGGGCATACAGGGCTGTTCTCAGGGCCACTCACCTTCCTGCATGTGTGTATGGTATAAATATGCTTTTGAAAATAGGTTCTTGGGCCCCTTCAGGACCGCAAGGCCTGGGCAGATGGATTTTAATAAATTTCCCAAAGAGATGGTTCAGAGCTGGGGCTGTGGATTAGCCTCTGGGCAGAAGTCTGTGCTGAGGGCTCAGGGTTGTGCCCCTGGGTGTGGCCATGTGGTTTCTGGGGGCTCCATAAAGGTGATTCCATCCCCATCCACTGGAGCAGAAGCCAAGTCCTGCCCCCTCTGAACTGCAGGGACACAGCAGACAGCGTGAGCCTTTGGGGGCCTCGGGATGATGACTGACATTATTGTGGTTCCCTCCACCGAATGTGTGCTGGACACCATGCCCACTGTATACCAGGCACTATGCCCACTGTCCTTTGTCCCTTTCACAGTCCTCCAGACAGCCCTGACACATTGATTGCCCCATTTTACAGAGGAGGGAACTGAGGCTCAGTGGGGAAAGTCATTCACCTAAGCCCAGACTGATAAATGGGGCCCAGGTGTCTCTGGCCACAGGGCGGGAGTGTGGTTTTCCAGGACTGGGAGGAGGGATGTCATCTGTGTCACGAAACAGAAACAGAAACAGAAAGGGCTTTGCCAGCTCCTTTCTGTTGCTTCGGTGTGCACACTATCACTTCTCCAAGCTGCTGTAATCTGTGGTTTGGTAATTGCCAGCTGGGCTTGGCATTTTTCCTGTCATGTCTTCATTCTCTTTCCCAGGGGCAGAAGCCACCTGTGGATGGGAGGCAGCACCAGCTAGTGAACCTCCAGTACTCAGGACTCAATTCAGCCCTCCAGACCTAGGTAGGGTCTGCAAGGGCAGAAGGCTTGTTCATGGGCTGTTAGCCCACTCCTCCTGGCCACCCTTCGGGGAGTCACTAAGTGTCACCATTTCACAGATGAGGAGCCCAAGGTTCAGAGTTGTTATCTCTTTCACACAGTTCCTGAATGGCAGGCAGGCACAGATGCTAGGGCTGTTGGATGTATGTGTTTCTTGTCCTTCTTAGGCAGTTTGACCTTTGTGTGTACTCATTAAGGACAGAAGTATAAATAGAGACTCTCTCCTGGCCTGGGTGCCTGGAATTGGGAGAACTGGAAGCTTAGGAGTGGAGATCTGGGTTCAAATCCCAGCTCTTCCCTGAGCTGTGTGACCTCATTGAGGCAGCCTCTTAAAACTCATCAGTAAAGTATAACATGACAACCCCTGCCCCATTGCAGGTGCTTAGCAACCATATCCATCCATAAGATCCATGGTCCCAATTGGGTTTCTCTTTCCAGCTCCAGATTAGTGCAGGGCTGGGAAGGGCTGGGTAGAGACCAGAAGACACAGTATTTGGGGTAGGTCGGGTGGGCCTCACTCCCAGCCCTATCCCTGAGTGCATAGAGAGCACATAGGAGAGATCCCATGGCTGCATCCTCAGCCCTTGGTTTGCTGCTTCTCCCTGTAGATCCCAAGGGAGCCTAGGGAACGTGATTTGCCTGGGGGAGGCAGGGGAGATACTATAAGCTGTACCGAACACCTGCCACTGTTGCTGCTATTGCAAACCTAGAAGGTGCCCTGTGGGAGACTGTGTGTCACAGTCGAAGGTCTGTAGGGCTGGGGAAGGACTGGATCTCTCAGAAGTTGCCACTGGCTGAGAGTGGATTCCAAGCCTGGGTCATTTGCTCCCTTACAGGGCCTTTTGTGAGTAGCTGGACCCTACAGTCATTCGACAGGGCACCGGTGGCTCACTGCTAGCCCCACCTTGGCCTCTTAGAGACTGTGGAAATTGAGAGAGCCTTCTTTGAGAGTTTTCCTTCTGTGAAATGAAGGGGTTGGCCCTTGTATGGCAGTCTGTTGGCACACTGTGAGTGAGTGTACAAATGTTCTGGTGCAGTAGTTAAGAGTGGGCCAAAGGACCTGACAGCTTGTGATTTGGGCAACTTGTGGCCCCCTCCTGCTCTTCTGTGAAACTTCTACCCACAGGTGGTAGTGTGTATGGGGCTCTGGTTTCTCAGGGCCACATAGTACCAGGAGATTGGTGTATATACCAGAGTAGAGAGGGGCCCTGTGATACAGAGATGGAGGAAGGGACCAAAGAGGCCTCCGGCTCCTGGGATTTGTACCCAGGGTCTGTCTTCTCTGATTGAGGTTTTTCTGGGAAGGAGGGAGGCAGGGAGGAAGGATAAGACAGGCCCTGGATCTGCAGACAGTGTGTTGGCCAACCCAACCCCTTTCTATGTCAGAGGCCTTAGTATGTTCCTGGGAATCAGGTTGATGGAGGACAAGGAGATGCTGACAGTAGTAGTTCCCTGGAAGGCCTCTTAGCCTCTACAGTCCCCAGGTGTGGGCTGAGTCCTTCCTTCCTCTGTACCCTATGCCGTTGACCTTGAGGAGTGCTGGCAGGAGCTGGGACTGGAGGTGGCAGAGGCTCTGGGAAACTTGACAGCCAATTGATCCCTCCTTGAGAAGTTGAAAGTGGAGATGTGTTTGAAGGTTTAGCTGAAATTAGGTCTCAGGGCTATTTTTTTGTGAGATGGAGAAGTGTCAGTGAGGGGAAGGCTCAGGGGGCTGGCAGAAGCTGTAGATAAACTCAGTGCAGGGTTGACTGCAGATGCTTCTAGAAGCAGGTCTTTGGTTCTTTTCAGTGACTCATTTACTGGGTGCTTGGTTGTGCATAAACTATGTGGTTCTGATACAATGACAGGTATGTCAGGGGTGCTGTGGGAACCCAGAATCGGGGATCTCTGGCTGAGGAAGATGGGAGAATTCCTACAGTGGGGGCCTTTAAGTCTGTGCTTTAAGGGATATGTAAGAGTTTTTCAGGAAAAGAGGGATAATAGTTGAGTTAGAGGAAGATTTAAATGAAAACAAAAAGCCAATGGCCCTGCATGACTGGGGTTACCGAATTTATTGGAGGCATGAAGGTGAAGGTCTAGAGAGAAACATGAGGGGGCTTCCATGGGAGATGCTAAAGCCTTTTACTTTCTCCTATGGGGCACAGGAGCTGTAGGGGGTGATGGCTAAGGGTAGAGGTCTCTGGGGTATGGACTTCAGGTTTCTGGCTGCTCAGTCCTCTCTCCACTCCTG